GGCTTTGTAATTAAAAATCAACTTTACTATCCTTTTATATTTCTGCCTACTTCTTTGTCCATTTCCTTTGAGATATTCTTTCTCATTGTCCTAAAGTGGAAAATTTCCTAGGTTCACAACTTTTTTTTTCTCCACATCTACTTTCCCATCTTAATTTATACCCAAGCTAAGATTTAATCACTTAAAAGCTGAGATTGTTCACATTTCTATTCTCAGACAGTAGGTAAGTGTGTGAGGGTATTGGAGTCAGAAGACTGACTGTATGGAGTGCTTTCAGGTTATCCAGAAGTAAAGAAAAGATTTTCCCATTTCTTCAACATAATTCTAATATGCCCTCTTCTCTTTCTCTCCTCCTTCGACTTCTTAGCCTCTATCGCTGGTTTCTGGAACAGTTATGCAGCCTCTAGTCAGCATGGCAAGTTTAAGAAACTCTAATTGATGTATCTGTGTGACTCTCAGAAACTATTGAAGACTCAGGGCTAGCTCCTTTCAGAGAATTAACCCAAAGAAGACCTTCAGAGTGGAGTGAGAGGATAGTGAGTTCACGTCATCTCTGCATCCCTGGTGGAGACTTTAAGCGTGCCTGATGGTTATGAGAAAGTCCACTGATGTTACCACTGTCACCAGTGTCATGTGCCACATGTTAAGAGACTCTCTAAACTGGGCAGCTCTTCCCTTCGGCATAGTTGGGATATATGGAAAGCTCCTGGTACTGCTAAATTTGCCATAATTAAATGCCACTGTGGCTGCTACTAGGGACTGCAGATAATGAATAGGGTACTCTTCTAACTTCGGTCAATAAAAAATATTAATAAATTGTAATAGCTATTTCCAAAGGAATTACCACAGAGTTTTGGTACCTAAACCCTGCTCAGCTCAAATTTCAAAACCCATTAAAAATCTAATGCACATAGTTCAGACTTTTTCGCCACCATATAGTTTAAGCGCGTCTGGATTTTCCTTCTGCTTCCTCCCTCTGGTTCACTTCCTGGGAAACAGCTCATCCAGAGAGGTCGTTTTTGAATCTGAGACTTAGAATAATTATTAGGCTTTTGAGAAGACTTTTGTTCTGGGAGACTGTTTTCTTTAAAATGTTTCTTTCAGAAGTACTCAACTCCTGTGTCTTTTCCTGTTTTAAATTTGTCTCTCGTGTTGCAGGCCTCAGATATTTTGCAGCACTGAAAATGTCCTGAACCCCGAGTCCTCTGAGTAATCACATAAACCTTTCTAAAGTGAGTTTATCTGCTCTGCCCGTTTGTTCTGACTTCTCTGGCATCTCACAGGAGTCTCCTTATTTGCAGGTCACTTGAGATGGTAATGTTGATAACGATATTTCTCAAACATTTCATGGTGATGGACTCATTTCTATTGGTTAATCATTTTTCTTAGTGATTGGTCATTGCGACAAATATCTGATAATTTTCAAGAAGGAAAATCTGGAACTGATTGGAAACAAATATATAAAGGGCAGGTAGGAAGGATAATAAGAGGAAGAATAAAAGAGTTAGGAAAATGAAATAGAGCCAAAGAAATGATTTGGGGAACTACAAATAAAGACTAGACATAGATCTAGTATAAAAGTTGGATGCTGAAGAATAAATTATTAATATTATTAATGTGATTTTATTATTGTTATCTGTTATTCTAGGCAAAGTCTTTGTGAATACAGACATAATTAATTAAAAATGAGACAATCCACGAAATCTTGTACATTTCAAAGGGGAAAATGGCTTGACAATGTACCACAAGATATTGGAGAGAAAGAAAGAATATTGCCTATTTAGAAGTCATACCCCTGAAAAAGTTCTTCTTCACCTGCAAAG